ACATGGTATTACATGTCAAATAAAAGCAGAGAGTTTCTGTAAAGCTTGCTGTATAATTCCTTCCAGCACACCCACACTTAGTATTTACAGAACAAAGATTAAGGGCAACAAATCAAGACATAAATTTTGTAGTTGCCTTGGCAAAACATTTTTCTGAGAATGACTGCTTGCCAAGTCTTTATGAATTTGAAGATAAATGTCCTGTCTGCAAACTGAGTGCAAACCCTCTTTAGTTAATGATTGGTGAAACAGTTCTGTCTTTGTGTGTCAAAAATTGCAAGTGACTTTAGCTCTGCTTAAAATATTAACATTTAGATATAAATACTATGTTGTTGTCTTTACCTCTTTTGTCCTTTTATTTATGCATCTGCTTCTTTTGTTGGCCACATAAAGAACTTTTTTGCTGCTTGATTTGGATAAAGGGGACAAAAATGTAGGTTGTAAATGCAGATTATGCACTTAAAGGCTGTTTTATGCACTGATCTATAAAAGCCCTAGTAATTGTATTCGTGTGTTTGTTCCCCGGTGTTCTAAACCTTCATCACAAATATTGAATAGAGATTACCGTTACAGGTCACTTATTTCCAAGAGTGGCTGCATTCTCTGAATGCTTTATTTAGGCTTTAAAATTTTGACAATTTTTGCGGCCACAAAGCATTGTTTTAATTATCTTTTTATATCAGACTTTTCAGCACCTTGGCTTCTAACTGATGAAATTTAGTATCAGAAGTTACCAGGCTCCCTTCTGGTTTAAAAGCCCCTTGTCCTGTCACTGTCAGACTATGTAAAAAATCAGTCTTCCTCCTGTTTATAAGCACCCCTTAAGTAATGGAAGGCTACAGTGAGATCTCTCTAGAGCCTTCTGTTCTCCAGGCTGGACAAGCCTGGCTCCTTCATCCTTTCTTCATAGAAGAGGTTCTCCAGCCCTCTGATCATCCTAATGGCCCTCCTCTGGACCCACTCCACTTCTATGTCTTTCTTGTTCTGGGGCAAGAAGTAGTGCAACGGGCCCAGCAGTACTCCAGATGGGGCTTCCCAAAGGCAGAGTAGCGGGGGACAATCAACCTCCTTTTCCCTACTGGCCATCACTCTTTTGATGCAGCCCAGGATACAGTCAGCCTTCCGGACTGCAAGCACACACTGCTGGCTTATGTCTGGGGTTGTCCCGACCCAAATGCAGTGCCTTGTATTTGATGTTGTTGAAACTCATTAGATTCACATGGGCCTACTTTTCAAGCCTGTCCAGGTCCCTCTGAACGGCATCATTTCCTTCTGTTGTGTCAACTGCGCAGCTCAGCTTGGTGTCATCTACGAAACTGCTGAGGGTGCACTTGATCCCACTGTCTTGGTCATTAATAAAGATTCTGAAGACCACTGGTCCCAAGGCTGACTGGATGATGCCAGTCATTACCAGCCTCCAGTTTTGACACCTTGATTCTAGAGTTATTAATAGGAAAGTGATGTGGGTAGAGAACATTGCTTGGAGTCACCCACAGTGCCATCTTACATAGAGAAAAAGAAAATGTTATCTGTAACTATTGTTCTCTGAGCTGCGTTCTCATAGTATTCAAAACTCTTCTGTTTTTTTTATTGGAGTGCAAGGAGTTTCTGAGGTTTTTCTCAGCCTCTGAAATCCAAAGAGAAGAGAGGACTAGCTTTTCAGGGCTGTCTATAAAGTAGGAAGATGCCACAGTCTTGTAAATACACCCTATGGGATGTTATCAAGGAAAACAATTATCTTGCTTTCGCTGTTCAGATAGATGTATCAGTGATGAATGTGGAAAGTCTATACATATATAACAGAAGAATAACAGATTCAAATAAGTAGCTCTTATAATGATGAAACTGGTCCTCCAGATTTCCATTTATATGGAGACAAAGAATTCTTTTATATAAAATCATTTTAGAAGAGGTATGAAGACATTCTTCAGAGTATTACAGAAATCTGTATCCAGTAATGATCAAGGGTTTGCAAAATTGATGTCACCTTAAATCATAACAATCTATTACTAGTTTACTGTTCTCTGAAAATGTCTGATATTTGTATCTGTCAAAGTGAAATAACTCATCTAGGTAGTCTATAGGCCTAGCATGTTTACATAAATTCTGAAGTTTTATATTATTAAATCATATCATGAAACGTGTTCAGAGAAGCATTCAATAAAATATGTACTTAAAAATGAATTTAATTGAAGATTGTAAGCACTGTTGTATGACTGGTACTTTAGTTGGCAATAGAATCAAATTAATGTGAGTGCCTTTAAAAACATCTGTGTCTTTCTGTGTTTTGATTTCTTTAGAATATAATTTCAAATCTGCACATACCAACTTCATAATTTAAATATTAATGTGACAGATCCTGAAGATAAATAGCTACATATCAGTGGTTAATTTAGTGTTAGCATTGTATAGTGACTACACAGCAAAACCAGTTTTTGTTAAACTTGCCGAGTCTTTCATTGGTCATGATGAGTTCTTTTTGTTCTTTGTAGCCTTAATTTGTTCCTGAATTTTGACTTGGAGTAGAATTTTAAATGGTTATTCTTTATGGAAAACTTGAGTAGAAAGATACTCTCTTGTTTCATCAATTATTGTCATAAGATTGGGCAATAAAGGGCACAAGTCCTTTGGTTTTGATTTGGGTTGTTGGTTTTTTGTGGGTTTTTTTTGTCTTTAAATGATTGGACAACCCAACAGCTTTAACATTCAAAAGTTTTTCAGCTTTACTGTCCTATATAAGGAATGTATACTTTTATTGGCTTGACTGTTGTATATATAACATGAAATACGACTGTTAAAATATAAAAAAAAATAATTAAATTATGATGCTTACCAGCAGAATGTAGATGGAGATATATAGAGATCTTATTTTATTAGACAAGCTAATAATGGACAGAAAATCCAGGCAAACTTTTGAGGATATAGTGTTTTCTTTCACAGCAAGCATCAGGTTAGGCACAGACTGGTTTTATACATATATTTCCTGGGAGGAAGAAGATAGGCTCTTTCTATTGCATGATAAGCTGCTTGAAAGTTAAGAGGTGATAAAGCTGTGAGGCAATTAATGTTCTCTTGCACAAATCCTTCGAAGGGTAGAGGCATTAAGATGTGCCATAATAACTAGTTCATGATAATGTTCAGAACAGTTAAAATTTTAATTTATAAGCTCTGCACTTCAAAGTATTTTGCAGGACTTCCTTGACCATTAAGCATGAGAGTTAATAGAGTGGTTTTGTGGAAAAATGTTCTCTGCTTGGTTACTGAATGACCTGTACATTATCCTTGCCTGTGTATGTTAATTCTAGTAAATAATGCTTATTTGGTTTTATCTGCTATTTTTCACAACATATAATGTTCTGCTGTGTGCTTACATGCAATTCATAGCTTTTGGTAATTCTGTTCATTTGTTTTACTCAGAGGATGGCAATCATTCATTCTTAAAGTCATATGAAAGCCTGGAAACTTTACATGTAGGGAAAGGTCAGTAAAGGCTGTTTTGTCTGATTTAAACATCAGGTTTGATTACAAAGCTAATTAGTTCCTTCTACATTAAGTTCCTTTTTTGAGACATGTCTTTACACTGTGTGTATATGCGTATATATATACATATCAGAGTTGTATGAAAGCCATTTGTGTTCAATTGGCTTGAACCTTATATTTTAAAGAGTTGCATAGGAGGATAATGTTTATTTAGTAGAGCAGATAGTATTGCATCATGGTGATATAGTCAGTCATCCATTTGAAATCAGCAGGAATACTCATTGTAGGAATATGTTCAGAAATAACATTTCCTGATGTGAGAGCTACTTCAAAAGCAATGCTTCCTATTTTATTATGTTGACCCATGCACTGGAGATGGATGTTGGTGTTACGTCAGTAGAAGTTTAACCTTCCTGACTATACTGATGCTGTGCATCAGATGGCAGCAGAGGGCAGCCTGACAAAATGATATCTGTTGTGGAGATGCATGTGAAGCAAAGGTGTGTCACTGAATTCCTCCACGGAGAAAAAATGACACCTATTGACATTCATCAACACTTGCTGAATGTTTCTGGAGACCAAATTGTGGATGTGAGCACAGTGAGGCAATGGGTGATGTGTTTCAGCAGTGGCTACAGTGGATCAGTTCCACTGGTGCAGCGTGACATGCAGGCTCTTGTTCATCACTGGTAGAAAATGCATGGCTAATGATGGTGAATATGTTGAAAAATAGTATTGTAGCTGAGAATTGGCTCTATCAGTTAGTGTTATTGTGCTCTTTGTCTCTGTTGTAGTTTCCATGGAAATAAATAGGAGGAATACCGTTGTGGTTCAACCAGGCAGGTGGCTGAGCACCACACAGTAAACACACTCCCCCCTTCCCAGTGGAATAGGGAAGAGAATCAGAAAAACAAAGCAGAACTCTTGGGTTGAGATAAAACTATTTACTAAGGTAGAAAAAAGGAAAAGGAAAATGGTTATGACTGTGTGTGTGTATATGTATATATAAGTATATATGAAATGCATTTAACAAGTGATGCACAAGCAATTGGTCACCATCCCTGACTGATGCCCACCTAGCCTCCCAATTAGCAAAAGAGAGTGAGATGAGCCCCTGTCCACTTCAGAACTCCTCCTGCATGATGTCATATGGTATGGAATCCCTTTGGCCAGTTTAATTCAGCTGCCCTAATTCTGTTCCCTCCCAGTTCCATGGGCCCTTCGCTGCAAATGGCCTTGGCTTAGCAGCAACTATAACATCTTGTGTGTTATCTCCAAAGAAAACAATTCCATTCCAGCTGAAACTAAGACAAATACTTTCGAAGCAACCTATGTATCTCTGAAAGTTTGACTATATCTACCCGTCAGTGCTCAGCTTCACTGTACTTGTGTGTTGCTTCATTGTTGAGTTTGTCTTTCAGATATGGGGAATGCAGTTTGTTTACTGAGCTGTGGGTTTTGCCTTAGCTACTCACACACTCTTGATTTTTTTTTTTTTTCTGTGTTTTGTTTACTTTAAGGTCGTTTGTATGCAATGCAAACAGGGATGAAGATTGATAGTAAAACCCCAGAATGCCGCAAATTTTTATCTAAACTTATGGATCAGTTGGAAGCTGTAAGTAGAATTTATTGTTGTTCTCTGAAATTATTCATGATGGTATTTTAATGACTGATGAAGCTTCTCCAAATGCTTGTCTTATCTCTGTTATCATTCATTGATGCAACTGTTCTGTATGCAGGCACACTGTAAGAATTTGGGTTGTATGTAATAAATCAGCAGGAGAACTGGGAGGAGGTAAAACTATGTGTGTATGTGTATACATATGTATATTTGTATATATATGTGTGTGTAAGCATGCATGAACATAAGTTTAACTTCCTGTTGAAGGCTTATATTATCCCTTTTGATACTGCAGCAAACAAATCTGCCTTCAGTACTCGGTTACTCTTGTTCAAATTATGAAAGATTAGAAAAACCTGTAATTTAATCTCTCAATTACTGATAAAATGGTGCTAAGACATCAATTCCTTTTATGTAGCCGGGTGGTGGAAAACAGGAGAGAATGCTTGGAGCAGGTAAAATAAAGCATTTTGAGGGCTGGGAAGCTTGAGTATATTGACAAGTTGATGTGTTACTAGTACTTCTACAGTAATTTAATAGCAGCCAGTTTCAGTCTGCCTGTACCAGCAGGGGGCACAAAGGGGTGTTGTAGACCTGCTGTAATGGTTCTTGCAGCTTTCTGTGCTTGCTGTAATTGATTATTTTATAGATTAAGACAGAAACTTACAACTACAAATTATCCTGAATTATATAGTAGCAAAGAATAAAATGATGTAGATACATGTGGAAATTACTCAATGTTTTTATTTACAAGAAGTTTCATACTATTCTAAATATGTGTAATTAAATATTAAATATTTTGTTTCAAATATATATATTCTGCAACTTATGAAGTGTAATTTTGTTTTTCTTGTGTGCAGCATAATTAGTAGAGTGGATAATTATTGAAAAGTATATTGAGTGTGAGTTTGACAAAAGTCTACAGATTTGAAGTACTCTTTACAAAGTTTATTTTTCACTACTGAAATATTTTTTTAAAAAACATTCTATGTATTAAAAAGTTGACAACAGAATAATATTATGGAAATACAGCTTGCATGACTGAATTTTCCTCATGCTCACTGTGAAAAATAACAGCCATTCAGATACTGTTTTTAAATCTTTTGGCAAAATAAAGACTACCGGCTAATATCATGCAGTGTTCCTGTTTTTGTCCTTTGAGGATGACCTGAGATTTCCTTATATTCAAACAGTAAGCCTATTCAGAAGCTGTAAATCCACCTGTTGTAACTGTTAGTGGGTTATTTGCTTTGCTGATTTTTATTAGGAAGCCTGGGGATTCTTGTAGTCCAGCATCTTTGAAAAGAGGTCTTTCAAATGAAGTACACTGCTTAGACTGAAAATTCCAGTAAATCCATAGGTCACTAGATCAGCTAAGGTGGGACTTGGACTTGGTGAAAGATGTACTGCTGTGAAATACTTTGCAAAAGAGATGATATTTAATGACTCTGACCTTCAGTACCTTTACAAACCATACTTTATAATTTAAACTGTGCTTAATTGCGACACGTGCTTCAGAACGTTTGGACTTTTGGATACTAAGGGGAAAAATATCTGTAGCTATTCCTTCAGAATATTATGGTTACATATCTTTGTGTTTGTTTTAAGATTCAATTTTTCTTTTAAAGGACTAGAAAATAGTGTGAAGAGCTACTTAATATTTTTCTCTCTAAAACAACATGCTTTCTCTTTAGCATGGTGCTTTTAGCATTTGTTATGTTAGAAGTTGGAGATCTTAAAAATAATTAAAGTGTTTATGGTTTCTCTTTTCAGTTGTACTAAATCAGCAGCTGCTTCTTCTGTTTGATTTAGATTAAAGTGCTAGGGTCTAATAAGGTAATTAATGTATTTTTTTCAACTTTTTTTTTTCAGATGAAAAAACAATTTGGTGATAATGAAGCAATTACTCAGGAAATTGTTGGTTCTGCTCATGTGGAGAATTATGCTTTGAAAATGTTTTTATATGCAGACAATGAAGACAGAGCTGGGCAGTTTCATAAGTAGGTGAAAATCTTTGCTCTGTTGTAAGAATTAAGATATATTCAAGCTCTTGTTAATTTGACTGCAAGCAGGAACTGGACATTCATCTCTCAGGAAGATCAATTTGTTACTATTTCAGTTTCTAACTTGACCATTTAACTGGTATCCTTCATCTTGTGTTCTTGAAGTGGTTGCTCACGTACTGGTGAACCTTCTAAAACATAGTACTGAACTTAGACTGATACTGAACTTAGTTAAATATATGGAAATTGTATACTGAAATATTTGTGATGATGCATGTTGTTTGAAGTACAGTGGTCACTACAGCACACTGATGATTTGGCTAGACTTTTTCTTAGGTAGTACAGGATGTCCAGTGTCCCATACTGAATATTCCAAATTAGAAACTAAGTGCAGAACTTATGACCTGCTTTAAAAGTTGCTGAAGAATTTTTCATAGTGATCATGAGACTTCTTAGTATATTCCTAAATATAGACATTGTGAAGTAAATCCTGTAGCATCAGATTAAAAGAAAATATTAGTGACAGTTGATTTGAAACTAGCCAATCTAGAATGCCAGTGGTTAAAAAGTGATCCTAAGAAGATGACATTACCAAGTTAATGAAATGCTTTCTTTTTTACAGAAACATGATAAAGTCCTTTTACACTGCCAGTCTCCTGATAGATGTTCTGACAGTATTTGGGGAGCTCTCTGAAGAGGTAAGTATTAAGGGATATCGGTGTAGGTTGATTGCTTTTCCCAGCACAGTTGCAAGTTACTGTTATAGTTCTGCAATTTTTTGAAAATAGTTCATGAATATGAGCTTCAGAGAGCATACGTTGTAATTCTGTAGTCAAATTCATGTTACTAAATCATAAGAAATTGTAGTAAGCATTTCGAATTATATGAAATGTTAGATAATAGTTGTCTTTTAGAAGATGTTTCATGTCTTAAAAATATACTAATAATATTTGTAATGCCTCATGGATACAGGATTATGTCAAATGAGAATGATTAAAGGGAGAAAGGTTGCAAGGTTCCTACCTTTTCCACCTTCCCCCTTTTCATCCTACAAGCAAGATCTTTAATGCTAATTACTGAGTTGGAATTATATACTATTTTAGCTAAAATAGATATTTTTGGTATTATAATAAATCTCACTATTAAAAGGTGGTATGTTAATTGGAAGGGCATGAATTTACTTCAAAAAAAAAAAAAAAATTGGTATCTGACTATGTGGACATGAATATTTCAAAAATACTGCCTACCAAAAAAACACAGATTTGTTTTAGCATTCTTTAGCAAAACATCTGCAGTCAAACAAGTTTTCCAGAACTGGATGAACAAGATCACAATTCCTCTTATAAAAATGTACTTAATAAAAGTTTTAAAGCAAACATTTCAGTTAATTGTCTGGTCAGCTCCCTGTTATTTGTGTCCCACAGGAGAATTAATATTGGATATGGTGAAGCAGATATTCTTAATAAAGTATTCTTTGTTCTGAGAATTAAAATGGAAGTATTATTTGCTAAATTAATTGAATAAGAAACTCACTTTGGAAATGTAGTGGTATAGTTGATAACTTCTGTCAAAGAGAAGAAAATAGGGAAAGTTACTACTGACTGGTGAAGACAATTATCAAAAACTGCCAAAGGAAGGATAAAACCTTGAAAAATAAATAAGGAAAAGCAGCGATACTTAACAATCTGCAACAAAATCAGCAAGTGCTGATCACATAAGTGCTTAATATTTGTCAGGCCAACTAAATCTGTATAGCTAATCAAAAAATATTTTTATTTCTCTTATGCATGAGTGCTATAGGATTCTCTTCTTCCTCTAGTAGAATTTCCTTAGAAACAAAAGTTCTTTTGGTTTACAAGTTCATAACAAGGTTCTGGTTATGTTGGTCCCAAACTATTTAATGCCCTGTTTGGAATAAAGAGACTAGACATCCTATATATAGATGCCTCACATGCAACCTTTCAATGAACAGCCTATTATTTCTTGCTGATGTCCTTCATCTGGTTTAAGGAGTGTTGTAAAGATATTAAAATATTTTATGTCTAGAATATCCTGTACGTACCATATTAGTCCACAACTGCACCAGCCTTTCTGTTTTCATGGTTTCAAATACCTACTTGTAATTTAAAATAATGTAATTTAAAAAAATCCAACACTATTAATTGGAATTCACACTCTGTTTCAGGTGATTATTTCCTTCGGATTAAAATAATAAAGTTTATGGAGATGTATGTAAAAAAGAAGTTCCATAATTACTATGCAACGTACTGTCTTTCATGCTAGATAATGTTTGTATTATTGATTTCCTTTTTCAGACATGCTATACGAATTGAAGATCTCCACATTTTCATTTCATACTGAGATCCTATTAGAGCTGTTCTTTTTATATATGTTTTAATTCACTGATTAATTTCATATGCATTACCCTTAAGTGAGCATCAGATGCCAGTATTTAAATAATCTCTTGTCTGGATAAAAAATACAGGTTTTAAAAAATTGCATTTTTTTTGCATGTGCACAGGTGGATGGAATATCCTAGATTCAAAATTATTGCAAAAATGGAAGGAGAAGCAATAGAAAAATTATATTCCATTGTACCAACCTGTTATGATACTTCCTTGAATGCATTAAATCAAAGAAGTGAGTGATTAAAATAACTGGCTGTTTACCTTTCCTAGAACGTTCAGCACAGAAAGTATGCCAGGTGGAAAGCAGCGTACATTCATAACTGCTTGAAAAATGGAGAGACCCCTCAGCCTGGACCCATTGGTATGGAAGGAGAGACTTTTGGTATGTATTTCCATTTTTTCCTCTTAAGAGCTGAGGGCTCTTTCCTCTTAGAGGAGATAAATCTGACTTGGTAGTGAACTGGCTACATGATGTTTTGGCTGATGCAAGTTCATATATTGTGATCAAATAGTGTGTGTTACAGTTTGACTACCAAGCTGCTGGTTATCATTTTTTCCTTACTTAAAGATACCCTTCATATTTGATCCCTGGAATGGCGATCTTACCCACTGTCTTATGTTTCAGTCTTGGCATAGCTGTATTTCAAGTGAAGCATTATCAAACTTAGTATTTCTTCAACATGTGATCTTTTTCAAGACAGTTTTTTGTTTGTTTGTTTTTAACTGCTGGTGCAGCTGCAGTGCAAGACCTATGATGCAACTCCATGCGTAAACATCACCACATCTTTGTAAGACAGATTACACCAATTTCTTTAGAATACAGTGGAGAAGATATGGTAATAAAGTCTTTGCTAGTGGATGTTATAGCTTTAAATGAGTGATTTTAGTGGTTAAGTTCATAGCTATAGGAATGTTTACAAAGCTCACCAGATTATGTACAATGATTTCTAATTGTGAAAAATATATTTATAAGCATAGATTACATCTCTTTTGCTAAAAAAAATTATTTATGCAACTCGTATACAATAACTGGTTCTCAGCACTAAAAGACAGTATTTTTTGTCATTTTCTAAATGTGCAGGCCAAAGTAGCTGGCTTATTCAGGACTGCACAATAAAGTGTTATTGGAGGGAAAACAGAATTCAGATTTATAACCTTAGTCTACATCGCAAATCATTAAAAGCAGTACTGTGAAAAAGTGAGGATTGTTGCTTTCATTGCCAAGTAACATGTAAACGAAGAAGCTAAATTTTAGCTGAATGAGCTAAAATTTACATCAGTGTTCATAGGAAGTCTACAATATATCCAATTCAGCAAAGTCTATTTGTTAAGCTATATTTTATATAGTAAGATAATTTTTATCTTCTGAGCAGGTAAATGAAAATACCTCTTGCTGTTCATTTTTTGAAATTACCTCTGTAGTGTAGTTGGCCATATTGCTTTACACAAAGATAAAAAAAAAAAAGTTTTGCTAATTATTTTTTTATTAAAGATGCATATAAAACAAAGTGTCAGTTCTTACTTTGTACATCTTTAGAAGAAAAGAAACATTGTTTGAATGTACAACTGGACCTTCCCCATTCCTTTCTGCTTGCTCATTCTCTTCCTTCCTTTGCAAGTGGAAAAAGTATGTTTAAACAGAGTGAAACTAGGTCTCTATAGTTTGACAAATTACCATTTTTTTCCAAAGTGTTATTTTCTTTGTGATTCTTGAAAACTATACTGTAACTCTTGGAGATGTTTTTACAGTAACATAGGCATGCTTTGTATGGTTCTGCTGGATTTATGGATGTTTTGTCAGATTGCCACCATGGAAACTTTAAAATGACATGCATGAGTTATTAATGCATTTGGAATACCAGTTGTAGAGTGCATATAAAGGTCACTTAGCAGTAGCTCCAGGTCATCGAGAAAAAGTTTATCCTAATGGGAAAATTAAAATTTTAATTTCTAATGGGACAAACTTCTTGAGTAGTCTCAGTGTAGTTACAGTAAAATGCATCACCAATTTCATTGCAAAACATTTTACATTTATATTGCAGAGTTCCAGGAAAACTGTATGTCCCAACTAGTTGAAAGAAAAGTATGAGAGCAGTGAAAGGATTTGGGGTTTTTTTCGTCAATGTGGTAGAAAAAAAAAAAGAAAGGGAGAGACAGAAGCTGTGTTCCAAAAAGAACCTTGCATTCTACATCTTTTAGCAACTTCTCAAGCTGGAGAGAGACATTACAGGACAATGAGGAAAATAAAATGTTTTCAAAATAAAATTAGTAGATGATGGCAAAAAATGTATGTTTATAAATCTCTGGACTCCTTCCAAATAAATTTTGTTAGTTTTCAATTTAGTGCTCTGGGATGTTGAATTTAAGTTACGTTGGGTGCTTTATTATTCTGGACAATACATTTCTGTGTACTATAAGGCATAATAATTTGTAATATAAATAAGACATTCCAATCAAGACAAAATGGGGGTAACATTTGCACTCAACATACAGTCTTCTTATATAAAGCATGTGTCTCTATGTACTGGTGATGTGGATTAGTTACTTATCTTATTCTGTCAGCCCCTATACTCCTGGTTTCAAAATACAGATGTCTCTGATTTTAATTACCAACCTGATCAATTATTGGATTTTGCTGTCTCCGTATTTGGCAATGTGGATTAAAAAAATTATGTAGCAATTAAAAAAACAGTCTGTTAAGACAAACTGATAGTAATATTTTACTGGGGCTAATTTTAAATCTCCAAATGTGTTTGTCCAAATTCAGTGTGTGTTTGTATAGTAAGATAATAGAAACATGATTCAGGTTAGATTTTGATTTTAAAATAGCGGAGAATGAATTGCTTTCACTGAAGATTTTCTGAGCCTGTTAAACATCTATTATATTTACAGCTTCTGGCACAGTTCATATCAAAACATAGAAGTTAACTTTTTGAGGTTTGTTCCACTTCTGCATGTCTACCTTCTGCTTATTTCTGTGAATTAGGTTTTATCTCAAGATCACTAGCAGTTTGAGGCAATAAGATTTACCAGAAATTTAATAGATTTAATCTATATGGTTAACAAGGAATGCCTTTAGATCTTGAGAATCTTTTATGCTTATAGAATTATCTTTGGACATTTTGTTTTAGAACAAGGGATATCAGCCTTATTCCAGAAAGTCTTAGCTTTTATAATTAACAGCAAAAGGATAGTGTGGCTGTACCGTGGCTCTGAGGAAAATTTGAAGATCCCATGGATCCATTATACTAGGATCCAAGCACAAAGTCTGATGAGGTTCCAAGACAAGAAACTTGACTCGAGCTGAAAATGAATGCGTAGCAATTGTATCAGTCTTTTACAGGCCAGTACTGCTTTTTGAGATGTTAATTCTCTAATTTTTTAGTATGCATTTTCTGGAAATGTGTATATTTCTCAGTGATTGTATGGATATTCTTATCACAGAACTTATGAGCAATTTGTTGATTAAAAAATTCTTTTCCACCAGCCTGAAAACCTTTTCTTTACCACTACTATTAAAACTGTTCAGGAATACTGCAAGGACATAAGTCAACATAGTCTTAATATTTAATCTTTGATTAATAATATTGTAAATATTTGCTCTACAGAAAGAATACTTACTACACTTTGACATTTGGGCACTCTAAATATGTAATAAGCATTAATTTAAACAAAGCTACTTTTATCTTTAATACTGTTCAACATTTAATAATTGCACAATGAGCAAACGTTTGAGCTTGATCTTCATGCATATGCCTGAATAAAAGTATATTTCCCTCTTGTGAATTTACCTCTTACAGGCATTTCTATTAAGGATAGCAAACACTTTCAACATTTTTATTTTTTTACTTTTCTAACATTGCCAGACTTCAACCAATTGAGTTCCTATCTTCAGTGGCCAGTATTGCCTATGGTTGTTGGGGTTTTTTTTCAGTTTTGTTTTTCATTTTATTAATTTCAGTCACTATTACTGTTTCTGAAAAGAGATCAGAGAGAATGAGGTGGATAGTCTCTGTGAGGGATTGAAACTTGGAGAAAGATGTTGGCAGGAGATTGGATGTTTTTTCTTTCCCATTTTCTCAGGGATGGGCTTTTCCTGTCTCTAAGAAAATCTGCCTGTGTTTGGCCCAAGTTCTGAGCTTTTGTGAAATTGCAGTTTACACGTACTTGGGCTTGCAAGACTTTTACAGCAGAAATCTCCAAAAGTTCCACGAACATGGGGAATCCTAAGGCAGAGAGAACTTTCCTGCAGTTGTATCTCAGATCCAGTGTGGATAGGAAGCTGGCATTTACAAGTCTCTAGACTGGCCTTAATTAGGAAAAAACTTCCAGACTCACTAATCGAGGGTACGCAAGTCCAGACATGGAGAGTGGGCTGGAAGAGACAACCAGGAAGGAGAAAAGGAAAAAAAAAAAAGTAGCATTGAAATTAGGCAATCCTGGGTGAGGAAATTAGAAGGCAGTGGAAATTAACTGGAGTTAGGTAGCATTCCGCTTTTGCAGAAGTAACTAAAGACCGTGAACTAGCCACTGAGGAACTTTGAAGATTATACTCAGAATGCCTTGGTGAAAAGATCACAAGGTAGTTTAAGAAATAGGCAAGTGTAGGGCAAGGGATTCCAGATATGGAATAAGAAGTCCTGATAGAAAAATGGAATTGAAGAGATAGATAAGGGCCAAAGGAAGCCATAGGGATCAGAAAAAAGAGTTCTAAGTCTAGGCAAGAAATTTGGGGTAATTTATTTTGATTGCAGTACTGTGTACAGTGAAAGCATGTTTTTTCCTGCTCCCTCATTCTCAAAAGCAGATTTCCTATTAACTTTGCCAAATTAAAAATAAGTGATTTCGTTTATTAAATGTTCTATATTGCATTGTGGTGGTGTCCATTTTTCTGCTAACTAGGAATGTTTATAAAAGGCACTTAAGTTTTCAAGTGTTTGGATGAAAGAGTTGGATTCATTTCTGTTTTATGTCATCTTGACAGATCTTGAAAGAGAAGAGGCAGGGTCATCTTCTCACCAGAGCGGAACAAATCAACCAACATCGTCATCATCTACGTATGAAGCTAATAACACACCAACTAGTAATTTCACTGGCATACATGTACCACCAGGTGCCCATGCACCAGCCAATACTCCAGCTGAAGTACCTCATAACACAGGTATATGACAATCACATGCAAAGAATTTATGCCTTTATTAAGAGGCAAACTCTATGATAGTCTTCTTTCCATCAGATATAAAATAAAATAATGTAGACGTTTTATGGCAAAAGCAACCTCATACAGTAACACTGTAAAAATGCCATAGGAAGTATACTGCTAGATGTATTGACACCTCCATCTTGTTTTCTATTAATTTTGGCCCCAAAACATGTTCCTTAAAAGCCAAAGTTGATCCCAGTAGCTGCATTAAAAAGAAAAAAAAAATTATTTTTAGATAATTTGTGAATGTACAATTTTTCCACCTCCCATTGCCATATAATAATAATAAGATTAGCAAATGAGAAGCTCTTGGTTTCTGTCTTGATGGTCATTTGATTGTTGAGATGTATTTTTGTATTAAAAGAACAAGATGTATTTCTCACACATCCCCTCCCTTATTTGAAGAATGTAATTTTAAGAATGTTTCACCCTATTAAAAGTTCATGATGCTCTTTATTTCAGTTTTATCAAAGGGAAATCCTTCAGATAGTTGTTTGTTGGTTTTCTGGGGGGAGGTCGGGGGGGGGAGGGAGGGGAGCAATCTGGGAGGGTGTTGTTTTCTGTATTCTGTCTAAGTAAATCTTTTACTGTTTGTTTTTGCCAGATGTGAAAACTATGGAATATGTTTCTTGTTGAAACACATTTTTTTGCATTACTTATTTTTAACCTGCTGTGTTGTTTCTTCTAGCAGCAATGTTTCCCTTTCAAATTTAGCTTCTATATTCTCACCAATTGTTTCCAGAGGAATTAGGGAGGACTTAGCTTGCTGCTAAGTATAAGATGGTAGGCTTGAGGCTTTAAAAATAGTTTCTATCTAGTATTAAGAGATAGCATATAAACTTCCAGTTAAAAGAGTTCAGTCATACTGTTCCTTAACAGATTTTTCTCAATACACTAGGAAAAACCATATATTTTTGGACTAATATTTTCTTGATTTGTTTAACGCTTGAAAGTTAAATTCCTGTGAAATACTGTACTGATAACATGAGTGAGAGCTGTAAATTCTTCATGTTGTTTTTTAAAACATTCCTGGTCAGCAGTGTTTTCAGATTATTTGCTACAAACTTTAAGACTTTAGAAGCCATCTACTGCGTAAGTTAAAAATTATTGAATCATTAAGTTTACCTGTTCTTATTTTCATACTTTTTTGGTGTACTACTAAAGTCTATAAACAGAAATAACCCTGTTCCAATTGTCTGCATTAATTTACAGGAGTGACGACTAATACCATTCAACCTTCTCCTCAAACTATTCCTCTAGTAGATCCTTCCCTTTACAGTGCTCAGTCTGCAGGTAAGATGGTGGTATTGTCCACGCATGAATGTGCTGTGTGGTTTGTGCCTCTCCATGCCTCCTCCAGCTTCCTCATAGTTTAATTTGCAACACTTAAAAGAAGTTTGAGAAATAAAGTCACTATTACCAGAATGCTAACAATTCATAAATGTTAAAAAGAATGGACATCATCTACATATTATATTATTCTGGTAGTGTTATTTGAGTGTTATCTGATTTTTATTTTTATTTTTTTTTAACTTTTCAAGCCAATAAGCTGGCATTGTGTTAGCCTTCTCCATTGTTGTTTCTCAGATAAGGTTTGGTGTACTCAACAAAGTCTGTATTCCTGATAACCTTTCTAAATTCTATTTTTGGTAGTTCGTACACATTCTCTTTCCTTAAAATTACTTCTTCAGGGTTAATTTGTAAATTATTTGTTCATTTCAATGAATAATCAAGAAAAACATTCCAGTGGTGTTTTTTATTGTAGTGTACTTGCTGTGTTCTGTACCAGCAGTGCTTGTTGGTTATAAGTAAACTTTATATTAAACAAAATAGTACAGTAAAGCATTGCTGATGATCTTATTTTGATTTACCGTTGAATCAAGGTTTTTATCCTTCAAATGTCATTTCTCTTCGATGTAGAGTCACTACTAACCTATATTGTGCAAATTTTACTTCTGTCTTTAAAAATACCAACTTCACTAAAAAAAACATTTTAATCAGTGGAATGCTACAGTAGGAATTCATTGTTTAACTTGACTTTAGTCATTTGTCATAAGAATGCTTAAGGACGTGAAGACCTAATATATTAAGGAGCTATTTTTGTCAAAGATGTCTTAAGAAGAAAAATGACAATAATTATCTTTGAAATATTCAGATTTGCTTTTAGCGTTCTCTTGAATAACAGAAGGTACATCTTATTGTTTCTGTCTGGCATATTAATGTCTCTTGTTACAGTTAGCTCACATTATTGAAAACCTCTAACCAGTCACTGAACCATTTAATCTTGGTGATGGCTTTGCAATTTTGGGGGTTGTGGCAGGAGTTTTGGTTGCTACTTAATGAAAACAGCTAAAGGCTTTATTTAATATTTATCGTAAGAGCTGCTAGTTAAAAAGCATGTTTGGCAGTAGAGTTTTCATACTTAATCAACTGATCATGATAATCTAGACAGTTATTCTGAAAGGTTTTTTTGATAACTACTATGAAAATTCTGGTCATAGTTGTTTATTGGTTTGAATATTTAATTCTAAGTGACAAAAATGTCAGTTTTGAATAAAACTTTAACTCTTTGTTAAGTATTAGAAGTTACATTACTTGATGTCTGGATAGTGTATCAGTACATTGTTCTCTCTAGCCTGTAATAACTTGATTCAAGAAATGTATAAATACAAATGAAAATGAATTGAGTGAATTAAGATACTCTGTGCTTCTGATAATTTATAATAACTGCTCTGCTATAATTAGGATATTAATACCCTTGCTAAGCATAGTGATGAATCTTTAACTTGATCTAGTATGAGTATTTGCATGCCTGCATTCCTCCTCTGTACATCTCTTGTTGTATCACTACAAGTTTGGGTCTTGTAACAGCATATGATGTTAGATACTTACGAGAATGTTTTGGAAACTTATATCCTGGGAAGTGATAAGGCTCATGCAAATCCATGGTTGTGAAAGCTTAGAAAATAAGCTGTCAGTTATGCAGGAGCTTGAGAAGGTATACAGATTTTGTATAGTAACAATTTTGTTTGCATGCGTAGAATTAAGCATCTTGAGAGCAATGGAAGGCATGGTTCCTTGTCTGTCTCCTTCCTGCCGCACATTCCTGATAATTCCTAAAACATCCTCCCTTCAGTAAGAGCAACATTGTCATTCTCCACCTACTGCTAAGGATTCCCTTTTATACCCAAAATACTGTCTCCATTTTAAGCTGTTCTTTTTCCTGTATGTAGATTAGGAAATGCCAGTATTTCACAACAGACTTGCTAAACTGGGGGACCCTTTCCAGTTCCTGAATTGCAAGATATATTATAGCTGTCTTGGCTGCATATTGATTACCTTGATAAGCACTGTTCCTATGGAACTGAAGTTGCCTTTGGGAGAGGAGGGGAGATAACTGTTCCTCTCCAGTTGATCCATACAGCTAGTAGAATGCTAAGTACATTTACTCCACGATTTAGGCAAAATATCTGTATAAATATCTGTATCAATTAAACATGCCTGAAAATATTTGACATTGAGAGCAGATGGCACAGAACAACTCACATCCATACTACTAAACTTTTAAACCCTCTAAACAAGGTAGTTCATCAAGTGCTGCCGGTATTGAATGGTCTTTAGCATGCTCTAACCATGAGTCTTGCCCAGGATTTGTTTGGGAAAGTGGTAGTTGTCATAGGCCAAATCCAAACCGCAATCTGTTCCAGCAGTTCAACAGTGCAGAGTCAAGTTCAAGTGCTGAGACACATTCCCTGGCACTGTTTAATGTACTAGTATAGACATAGCCAAACAGGATATTCCACATACTCCTGGAAGACTCTGTGGTAAGAAGATCAAATGTATATTTTTAAAATAAATTATATATTTTCTTTCTAACCCTTAACATGGGAGAAGCAATGTGATTAATGCTTATGTGGAGAAGACTGGAATATTTATCAAAAGAAAATTTAGTTAGGGTATTCCTTTGATTTTAGTTAGCACAAATCCTGCAATAAGAGCCCTGTCCTGTGAGAGCAGATTTTAGAGTTTAACACTGGCCTTTGAAAATATCAAAGCTTATTCAATTAAGCATAGCATACTATACTATCACAAAATGCTAACAAAATAGAACTTTGTATTATGTACTCATGAAATTCTCTGGTCTAATTCATTTTAAAAATGTGTTAACTCTAGATTTTGCTAACACTAAATTCATTCATAATTGTACTACACAGAGTTTTTATAAGATGTTCTTACATTACTGTATGCTTCCGTCCACAGGTGACATAGTATAGAGAAACCATTTGTCCATACTGGTTGCATTTATAATAATGTTTGCTTTTCCATGCACAGTGTAGAAGTAATAAACACATTTTATGTATTTTCGTGATCTTAAGAAAAATTCTTTGAGGAATTGTCTTGAATGTCTTAACTGCTGTAACAGGAAAAAAAGAGCATCCGATTTTGATAAACATTAATTATATTTGCCATCACTGTATTTATATGCCACGTTACACTGATTTTATTAAAATATTCTTTGATCAGCTGCATTGTATTTGGACAATTTCATAAAAGGGAAACATGATGAATAGGAAAGGATATCAGGGAGATGCAGATACATCCTATAAAATAAGTTAATATAAAGATGCTTTCTTTCTCAACATAATTTTCAGTATATCTAGTAAAATTGACTTTTTGTTTTTACTTTGTGTTTATCTTAAACTAAAACAGAAATGGTTTTTAACATTAGCTATGGATTCCAGTTTTCTGTCAGTTTGGAATTAAGTGTGATTACTAATGATTTCAGATGTGAGTTTCAGGATGAGTGCAATATACTTTTTCCCATCTCACAGATTGGTTGAAGTTGGAAGGGAATTCTAGGTCCATCTGGTCCCACCCCCCTGCTCAAGCAGGGCCACCTACAGCATGTTGCTGAGGACCATATCCAGATATCCAGGTGGCTTTTAAAGATCCCCAACTAGGGAGACTCCACAGTAGCAGTCATGGCCACTCTCACAATCAAAACGTGTTCTATTATATGCACATTGGAACTTTCTGTGTTTTAGTTTGTGCCTGTTGTCTCTGCTCTAGTCACTGAACACCAGAAGAGCCTACGGACTCCATCTTTCTTACTGATGCCCTTTATTTATTTATCTGTACTGATAAGATCCCTTTTCTTCTCTGGGTTGAAGAGTCCCATCTCTCTCTGCTTTTCCTCATATGAAAGATGCTTCAGTCTCATTATCAGCTTCATGACCCTTCATTGTATTCTCCATTAGCTCCATGTCTCACTTTGTGCTGGGCAATCCAGAATTGGGCACAGATGTAGCCTCACCAGTATTTAGTAGATGGAAAGAATTATTTCCTTTGGTTAGCTGACAATGCTCCCAGTGCAGCTAAAGATACTAGCCTTCTTTGCAAGGTCATGTTTTTAGCATGTGTTCCTCCTGGCTGCTGAGACCCCCGGGGTGTTGTTCCTTTTCTGCAAAGCTATTAAACAATGTATGAACCAAAGTTATTTACAAACTTTGGAGGTGATACTTTCAAGTTTAGTACAGGCATTGTAGTTAAATTTTGCATTATTTTGAAAATTTTAGAAAGCAGGTTTTTTATTTCTATTCTGTTCATCCATTGTGAGGTGCTGACTTGAATAGGAGCTGAGGCCACTGAGCACGTCAAAAGATCAACACTTTGTGTAAACTTTGGTTTATAAAGTTGAAGTTAATTTTTTTCCCTCAAGTTATGTCATAATAGCATTTGAAGTAGATTTCATAATAAATAAATCGTTATGCCAGCAAAACATTAGTAGAGCTCATACTGCAAAAATAAGATTAGACTGGTGAATTTAGGCTTCCTTCCAATAAATCAGTTGAATAGTGGACTGATGCCTTGGCCTGGTTTTAGAAAATGATTTTGTAGTTTCTTTTGGCATCACAGCATAAAGCCACTTTGAGAGGAACTTGGTCTTTCAGATTTCTTAAAGATGTTCAGTAATGTGGTCACAGATTGACCCCAGCTGCTTTTAGTCTGTGACTTTATTTAAGTTACAAAATAATCTAAGTGTGTGCTCATGTTTATGCACTCCCTCACGCATATTTACCCATGTTTGTGTATTTTAAGACATTTTAATGTGGTTTCACTTATTTGGCAGTAAACTAATATAAATTGCAGTGAAAATGAGCCCACCGAGTTGTCATGTGCCTCAATGCTCAGAAGTTATTTTGTGGTCAGATTTATTTATTGAATGGAAAATAAATGATTTTCTAGTGTGCATTAAAAAAAAAAAAAAAAAGAATGAAAAGAAAAGATAAAATTCATCTTGAAAGTTCTTACTGTCCTGCTTTTTACTGGGGCATGGTTGTTTTAAAAAGCAGCAAACCAGTCCAGTTTTTAATATTCCTGGGTTTTCCCTTTTATTTGTTCAAAAGCTGTTTTTAAATAAGATTGGGAAAGGGAAAAGCAAATATAAAAGATATTTCCTGATAAGGACTCAGATACTTCAGTAAACGTTCTCATAGTATTGCTAACAAGAGTTTTATCTTGAAAGAAAAAATCTGGCTAACTATGATTGTACCTTGTAAAATGCACTGAAGTGTATTCATGTCCTTGCTTAAGATGAGAAAGCTATACCTAGAGAACTAGGCCTTTCTTTAACCCATTTTATACCAAAGCCTGTGGTACATTTAAAAGAACATTTCTTCTCAATTTGTGACATCTCTTTATTGATTATTAAATGCTATGTTGAAAATCTATTAAATAAAGAGCTATTAGTTTATAGTATTGCATGTGATTATTTAAATGTGCTCATTAAAATCAAATCTTTTACAAGTTAAGTTGTTCTGAAGTAAATATTTTATAAGTCCCTACTATTGTTTTTAGAACACTGAGTGCATGTGTTGTGATTATGTCAAGGAAATATTCTAATGACACTTAATTGTTTTATACTTTGTTATGAGAATATTTTTTTCCAGTGTTAAAAAAAAAATAAGGAAATATAGTAGGATCAATGCTGTTTCTAGTTAACTCACCTAAAATTGTAACATGAACATTACTTGGATAAAAGAGAAATATAATATGTGCAAAAATATTTCAGTGAGAATGTTTCCACATATTGAAAATCAATTCCAGTGTAGAGGGAACAGTTTCTAACTAAGGTTGTGTTATTTCTGAAGAAGAGAGCAAACTAATTATATTGTAGCACAAAAAACACTTTCCTTGTTTCTTGCAGATGGTTATATGACTACAGATATCTTATTGTTAAAATGTTCTTTTTTTGCTACTTTAGCTAAAGAGCGGATCTTTCTCAAAGGTATTGACTTACTTCTGAAAGGCACTGGATTATATAAAAGAACAATGTTTTGTTCACAAAACAATACCAGCAGCAAAGAAGTAATGTTCAAAATATTACCACAAGTATCATACTGCTTTTTTGTAATATTACTGCAAATGTAAGTAAAACATAATAATGTTATAATTATGTTTTTGCAGGGGAAGTCCGTTTGACTCCAGAGGACTTTGCCAGAGCTCAAAAATACTGCAAATATGCTGGCAGTGCTTTGCAATATGAAGATGTGAGCACTGCTGTGCAGAATCTCCAGAAGGCTCTCAAGTTGCTGATTACGGGCAAAGAATAAAGCTTTTAATCCAACAGATTCATGTCATTTGCCTAAAGAACTAACAGCTTATTACTGTACCCGTTAGGGGAGTGGAAATATACAGAAGCTCTCCATCTTATCACCTATGATAATGAAATCACTCTTTCAGTGTCATTAGGACTTTTCATTTTTAAAACAGTGGAGCTAGGAGCATATGAATGCAATTGTTTGACGTAAGCAAAATACTAAAAAATGTACTATGAACACTGCTTAAGAGGTAGAATTCATATTTCAATATTTAGGTTATCAGTATGGGAAATCCCAAATCTGCAAAAAGGTTGAACATAACAATGTTCTGTTGAAATTCTGGCTCTGCTTTCATTTTTTTCAAACAATTATTTAAGAAGTTTAAATAGCTTTAAAACTGTAACAAAATTCACGACTTCCTCCAGAAAACAAAGCATGTAAGAAGACTGACACATACACAATGGGAAGGACTTTTTTCCATACCTAAATTATTTGGGTATCATCTGAGACATAAAGTTAAGCAGGACTTGAGGTTATTTCTATATTGTTTTAATACGTGCATTGAAAACATTTCTTGATACATCAAGGAGAGTAATTTTGATTGCATTCCAATCCAACCACCAACAACTGAGTGGACTGCTGCATGCAGTCTTGATCATTGATTCTTTGGGTGAACACTGGGAATTTTGTTTATGTATGGTTAACTAAGAGAAAGTACTAATATTTAGTGGAGATGATCCTGAAACCAGGGACAGAGATGCTAAACAGTGTGAACTTTTAGGGAGATTTACTTCATAGATGTTTCATCTCTTTAATAAACTGAATCGAAGGACAGTTCAACCGTTTGGTTCATTTTTGGTATTAATGATCTAGAAGTTTGTATTCCCAGCTAATATTCTTTCTGTCTGCTATGTTGTGGAGGCTATTTGGACTTGGGAACTAATTAAAATATCTTGGAAATAGAATTTTGAGTCTTTTTTAAGTGTGCTCCTGCTATTTTAGGGCTCTTGGTTGTTAAGAATTCATCCTTGCAGTTGGAAAGAAAGACTAAGTGGTCTTTTAACGGCATGACGTAGGAATTGAGTACACCACAAAGTATGTCTGATTTATGTAATATCTTTTAACATCAGATTGTCTGATATGTCTGTCTTTCCAAGCTCTTGGATCAAATGCACATCATTTGTAACTGCACTGTTTTTGCAGCATCTTAAATGTGTCTGAAACTTAAAGCAAAAAGTTGAGGAAAATAAAATCAAGCATAAGCATGCATTAAAACCTAGCTGATGGTATCATTTTATGAGAGCAGATTGTGTCTGTCAGCAAGTTTGAGAAGGATAATACGAAATTTGTTGATGTAGCTTTAAGCAAGATATAATAGATAGAACACTCTGGAACTGCTTGTGTTTTGCTTTCTGCTATGGGCATGGCTTTGTTGGTATGGCGTGCTAATTTGGATAGTGATTTGGATTAGATTTTAATTGGCTTGGGATGTTTAGAATGAATCTGTCTGAAACTTTGTTGACAATTATGTTGTATAGACCTAGTCAGTAAGTATATGTCTTGTATAGTGTTTCATGCAAGATAGCTCCTTCAGTATCAACCTGAATTTCTATAAATTCTTCCATGTAAATACTTATATTCTGTTACGATGTGATTGGAAAAGCTACTTTTTAGTTGAATGAAGGAAGCGGAACATTGCATATATATTCCATTGCTATTAAAAAAAATATCAAAAGTTGCTTTCATTTGTGCATCATATCACTGTTTACAAATACTGGATTCAGTCCCCAGGCCCTGATGAATGGAGGTCATTTTTCCTGTATCTTTTTATAAAATAGTTAAAAAAAACTTCTAGACTTTTATACTAAGCCAGCTTTGATGTAATAGTGCATTAATTTGAGGCTTTTCAATGCAAATTAATTTTTTCATAGTGATTAATATGAAGGTGGCTGATAACTAAATTGAAGCATTGATTAAAGTATGTAAAAAGACTGTTTTGGTCATGTTTATGTTGAAACTATACGAAACTGGAGAATCATCAGAGAAAAAAGTAAGTTATGAAAAAACTTAAGTGATCATTTACAAATGTATAACCTTCACCCTACGTATTCCTCAAAAGTATTCCTCAGACTGGAAAGGAGATAAAAATGCTTATACAAAAGTTAAAGAGTAGCTGGCTAGGGAAAATATAAGATCACTATTTCTGATCATAAAGTAGTTAGAAGATTGATCATGTAAAATTCGCATGAACACAGTAAGATCGAACACACCCTAAATGCTTTCATACCACGATACTTAAATTAGCATTTTAAATTATATTTTACGTAAAATTATTTTGTCCTGACCATTTGTTTTTTTAATGAAAAATTTTTATTACAGCTCACCAAAATTTTTTTTGAAGCTACATATTGAAGCTGCTTATGTTTGATGCAACACATTCTGAGTAGTTGCCATCTTAACTGATGCCTAAAGTAAATTATAGCGTAGCATTTCTATTCCACTAAGTACCGCCTCTGGGTTAGTTTTAAATGTGGCAGGCAGATAGCCTAAAACTTCAAGGCCATGTTGCAGAATTATTCAAAATTGTAGCTATTTAAAAGTGGCAGGAGAATGTAGGTGGACTGCCTGTAATTACTCCAAATTGGAATAAGTGATAGAGAGTGGAATTATCTTGTGAGCTTGCCTAAGTGCTGACTGTTAAGTTTTACAGCTACTGTGAATGATAGGGTATCAACCCATAGTTTCTCTTCAGCCAGTTCTCAATGTATACATTGGTATCTAAAGGAGAATGCTGTTTCTGCTGCTCTACTGCCCTTTCTTCTTCAGTGATGACTAAAACCTACATGTGTGCTGGCCATTCCCATTTAGATTGTGAACTCTGAATCGTAATCTTCTTTATAGCAAGGAAGAAAAAAGCTTTGTCAGATATTCCATTTTCCTTTTTTTAAAAAATAGAATTTTAGTAAATCTGTTCAGTGTTACTTAAACAGCTTTTGCGGTTCTTTGTGCATGTATATTTCTGCAGGAAAAGTCCCCATATTGTATTGCAGGATTCATGTCTTGCAAAGCAGGTTACTGTTTGTGAAATGGTTAAGATTTTTTTTCAAATTTTATAATTTTATAATACTGGAGGTATACTTTTCAAATGGTTGAAGTCATGTCAGGTGAAATTTTTAATAGCTGTCCATTGAAAGTGAAGTTTCTGAACCACAGACTTATGAGAATTGGAGAAGACATAAGTTTGCTTAATAAATTTCACTGTCAACAAGAAAAGAATCCTGTGTTTCCAGTGGAGCTCTTTTTGGCTTGTGAGAGTATTGTAGTAGTCTGGTAACAATGATGGTTCTGAATATAATGTTTTAAATTACCTCAGAATAGGAAGTATGTTAAATAGGAGCATTGAAAACAAACTTGAAAGAGGGTGGGAGGCAGGAGGGGAGAGAGGGCACAGAAATGATTGAAGAAAAGAATCAAAGAGATTATTAGAATGCCACATGGCATGGGAACATTAGCAGTGACTGTTATGAAGTTTCTTTACAGCCTTAGAAGAGACGGGATAGAAGCTGGAAAAGGCAAGACAAGAAGACAGGATGAAGAGCAGAAAAAACAATTTTTTAATTGTTATTATTTTTTGTACAGCAGCATGGAGGAAAATGTAAGTTTGAAAAGACCAAGGATAGTTGTAAAATAAGAAAAAAATAATAAATTCAGCGTGATGAAAATGGAGAGGTGTAGATCTTTCATCCTCGCGACCTATGCACTCATTTAAAATAAGTTACAATATTTATTGTATTATTATTAAAGTAGGGCTGGGGTGGCCCCTTTCGAAAATGATATATCAACAACAGAGACCTGAAGGAGATCTGGGTTAGTTCTTCAAATGTTGTTCATGACTTTGGACTTTCTCTTTTCTTTTGTTTTTTCTCCCCATTATCCACTTTTGTTTTTATTCTGTGGTTTCCGTAAGAAGGGAGATTGTTGTGCTTTGATGCTGTGCTAGGTATCAGTGATAGCCCACATATTTAGACTTTCTCATGTAATTTGGGAAGGTTAACAAATTTGAGTTTTCAACTGATGTGGGCTATAGAGAAAATACAGGGACTGTACTTTCTTCCTGAGCTTCAGAAGATATTTGGCAGCAGTATTTGCGGAAGGATATGTGATAATCTTTTCTCAGAGCCATATCTCCAGTCAGAGCTCAACAAATGGATCTCTTGGAGTTTGGAAACCTCCATCTAAGAGGTAGTGAAATTGCCAACTTTCCTTGCTCAGTTAACCCATCTGTACAATAGATGTAGGATGTTTTATTTTCATCTTGAATAGATGCATTAGGTGAAATTGTTTCAGTCTAGAAAGTAAATTTCTTTAAAATGCTGGGTTTGATTCTGATCATTGTTGATGGAATCTGATAACTAGTAAGGAATGCAAGGAAGAGATACTGAGATTATAAAGGAAATGGAAATTGTGTAGTGAAAATAGATTGAGTCTAGTTATGGAATGGTTTTCTTAAGGCATTAAGGACAAAGCATTAATTTATCTTAAGACATCCTGTTAAATGTATAAATTGAGATCGCATGACAAGATTGAAGTGAAACGAGTTAAAATTTCAATTAGTCGGTCACTGTGCTTTTGAGAAGGTTTTTCTGGCTGCTTGAGTTATGGCCCATGGATTTAATGCCCCATGTATGTTTGCTTGTTTTGGTGAAAAACACAGCCTGTAAGCTGTGTTTAAGATTAAAAAAAAAAAAAAAAAAAAAGAAAAAGAAAAAGAAAAAAAAAGAAAGAGACATTTATTTTTTGCTGAAGTTAATCAAGTGTATTAGCACAATCTTGGGAAAAATACCTTACTCAGTACGGATATTAAATCTGCATGCTTGTTTTTACATATAGGTGCTCGTGATCACTGCACTTCAGCATCTTTTTCATAATGGAAGCTTTACACTCATCTGACCTTTTTGCTCTTCTTAACTTGCAAGAATAACTTCACCCATGTGAATGGTTCTATGGAAGCAGGATGAGTGTTCATTTACATAAGTGTTTCAGTTTAAAGCTTTAACAAGAGGTATATTGCTTGATCAGTAAAATTTAGTTGGGACAATTGCAATGGTTTTAATTGAGCCAAATCTGGTATACTGCTAGTTCTCCCAGTGTGTGTTTTAATCTCATAATCTTTTTATTGGCAGATTTTGAGACAGAATTCAGCTTTTTTCCACTTACATTTTCTGTTTGGAAATACTAAGATTTTATGTAGACCATAAACAAAATTATAATGATAAATCTTACCGAATCTGTCTATACTAGATTTGCTGAAAAGGAAAGTATTCTCTTGATGTATTTTTTGTATGTTTTATGGTACAGTTATATCTAAATACAGCTCCTATTAGCTAAGAAATATTTATTCTCAGCAACATCTGCAGGAACATACATAAATCCTGCAAATAAAAGCCCTGCCATGTGTAGCGGTGCTCATATGAAAGAGGGCAACTTCTGTTCTTGTTAACTCTGAACTATGCAAGTCAGAACATCAGCCTCTTGAACGGTCTATTGTTGAAGCTCTCTCTTGCTTCCAGTTCTGGTGTCCCAAATGCAAGAAGGACGTGGAACTGTTGGAGTGGATCCAGAGGAGGGCCACAAGGATGTTCAGAGGGCTGAAGCACCTTGCCTACAGAGACAGGCTGAGAGAGCTGACGCTCTTCCACCTGGAGAAAAGAATGCTCCAGGGGGACGTTATAGCAGCCTTCCAGTACCTGAAGTAGCCTATTGAAAAGCTAGGGAGGAACTTTTTATAAGGGCATGTAGTGATAGGAGAAGGGAAAATAGTTTTAAACTGAAAAAGGTAGATTTAGACTAGGTAGATTCCTTACTGTGAGGGTGGTGAGAAACTGGAGATGTTGCCCAGCAAGGTTGTGGATACTTCTTCCCTGGGAGCATACAAGGCCAGGCTGGATGGGACTTTGAGCAACCTGATCTATTGGATAGTGTCTCTGCCTAGAGCAGAACAGTTGGAAATTTATGATCTTAAAGGTCCTATCCAACCCAAACCATTCTATAATTCTATGAGCTTTCTCCTGCAAACTCTAGTGTGGATCCCTTGTTGAAGCTTATATGAGATACAGTGTGAAGTGTGAAAGTTTCTTCTTACAGCCGCTTTTCATAGTGACTACTCAGTCAACTTTTTGGGAAGCAATCTGTTTGTAAATGGTTGTAAATGTAGATGAGTTTACTGAACCATGCATATATGATCAAATCACTAAGCTATAGAACCTAAGCCCACTGGAGTATACTAAACTTCCCGCTCCTTCATTTCTTGGTTCTGCAAATTTCTTTAGAATCTGATCATGGAAATGAGTATCAAGTATCAAGACTACTCTCTACTGAAATCTAAGTCCTAACTGCACAGTTTCTTCATCAGTCACAGTTCACCTTTTCTGAGATCATCTTACCTATTCTGACTGCTTTGATTGAGCCTTCCTGAGTCATAGATGCTGCCACAAATATCTGCGCCGTGCGAATTTTAGGGACAAGCCTCAGAACAGCTCCTATTTTTTTCTTTGTTCTATAGCTCCAGTCTTATATGGAATAATAAGAGAAATGACTTTCTGCTATTGTTCCCTCTCAATGACAAGAGTTGTTAGTCTCCTGACTAGAAATTTCTTGATCCACATTGTCTTTTTAGTCCTCGGCTATGCAAAATGTGGAGTCTCTTGAGCTACGAAGAGAAAACATTTGTTTATGCCTTCCAACTTTAAAGCTCTTTCATTTCCAAACCTTTAGAAAAGAGAAATGAAAAACAGGATGGGAATTCTGAGTTTTCCAGATGTTATGTTTTTAGAGACCGAAAACAGCTGTCTCTTTGAAAGATATTTGTAGGACACTCTAAAGAAGACCTGAGAAGATCTGAAATTTTTTGTCAAGCTTTTGATTTAAGTTGTTTCCTGAGATTTTAGCAAGCACCTAGTACTTTGTCAGGAAAATATTTTAAATCCATCTGCACCTTTCTAGGTTCCTCCATCATCTCTTCAAAATAAATATCTTAATGACTGCCACTCACTATTGGTTGGTTCAAAATACTTAGTATTAAGTTCAAATCTAGAAACTTTGACAGAGAGTGCTAAGTGCTGCAGAAGAAGCTTGTTCTTATGAACAAACTCAGTTGCCACCAAGTCTACTGGAGCCTTAAAGGAAGAGTAATCAAACAAGAACTAGGTGTCTTTGTTTATAACAGAAGACAGTCAGTTTGACAGCATTTGCCAGACTTGCTAAGTAACTTCTTCCAGGATTCTGATAGGTTAGTGGCACAATGCTATTGTCACACGACTCTCTAGGCCTCCCAGGAGGAATCTGGGACCATGCATATCCACTGTGTCTGTCTTGATTCCTGAAGAAAATTTATCTTGCAAAGAGGAATCTTCCCTTGAAGGAAACCATGTTTAGTACCTGTACAGTGAGTTTTCCATTTTGATATGGATAGTTTCTTGAAGATTTATATCTCTAGGGGGTTTATCTTCACTCTCAAAGACATTTCTGGTACATTGACCAGAAGAGACAGGCCAAAAAGAGCGTACCTCCTCTGGTAAATGTAAAAGGAGAACTGACTTCAACAGATAAAGAGAAGACTGAGGTACTGAATGAGTTCTTTGCTCTGGTCTTCACTGGCAAATAGGATTCTAATATTTTTCACATCCCTGAGCCCTGCGTCCCTAAACCTCTAGATGGGGACCAGGGCAGTAAATCCTCCCACACTGTAAGGGCAGAGCAAGTCCGAGACCGCCTCATGAGACTGAAAGTGTACAAGTCTATGGGGCCGGATGGCATGCAACCCAGGGTTCTGAAGGAGCTGGCTGAGGTGGTTGCTGAGCTGCTCTCCATCATAATTGGAAAGTCATGGCTGTCAGGTGAAGTCCCGGATGACTGGAGGAAGGGTCATGTTACTTTCATTTACAAAAAAGGGAGCAAGGTGGATCCAGGAAACTACATGCCGGTGAGTCTCACCTCTGTGCCAGGGAAAATCATGGAACAGATCATCCTGGATGACATGCTTGATCACATGGGGAATGAGCATGTGATCCGAGACAGCTTGTACGGCTTCACCGGGGGAAGGTCATGCTTAACCAATTTGGTGGCCTTCTATGATGGAGCAGCGGCATTGGTGGACAAACAGAAGGCGGCCGATGTCATTTACCTGGATTTGAGCAAGGCCTTTGACATGGTCCACCACCAAATCCTTATCTCAAATTGGAGGGATGTGGATGTGATGGGTAAGAAATTCGTTGAAAGGCCACAGACAGAGGGTGGTGATTAATGGTTCTATGTCCAGGTGGAGGCCAGTAACGAGCAGCATCCCCCAGGGGTCTGTCTTGAGACAGGTTCTCTTTAACATCTTTATCAATGACATCGACAATGGAATCGAGTGCACCCTCAGCAAATTTGCTGATGACACCAAGCTGAGTGGTGCTGAGTGGAACCTAATGAGGTTCAACACAGCAAAGTGCAAGGTTTTGTACTGGGGTGGGAGGAATCCCAGGCATTTATACAGACTGGAAGGAGCAGTCCTTGAGACAGCCCTGCAGAGAAGGACCTAGGGGTCCTGATGGATGAAGTCTACCTTGATTTCAGCAAGGCATTTAATACTGTCTCCTATGGCATCCTTATAACAAAGCTGAGGAAGTGTGGGATAGATGAGTGGACAGTGAGGTGGGTTGAGAACTGGCTGACTGGCAGAGCAC